TCACTCAAGTCAATGTTTCCTTGCTTTCACACCTTACTAAATATTCTTTCCTCCCAGTCGGAGCTCGCTCCTGTATAGACCATTTACTGTTCTACCCCCTTTGTTTTACCTTTCTCAGGTAATCTTCCTTTAACTCCTGCCCACTGGAAATCGGGATTCATCTGGGTGTAGACTACCAGATAAATTATTAAATCTAGATTCAGATCCACACTGGAATATGTTAATTACAAGCTATGCTGAAAACACCTGACCCTGAAATGACATGAAGCCAGAACTGTATTAACATTTAAACACTCATTCAGCCCCCTGTGCCCTCATCCTATGTACACAGCCTTGGGCAGATACCTTGGACAGAGTCTGCCAACGTACGCTTGTCTGAGATCTGTCAGTTAGTCGCATAATTGTTGGTCAGTTTAAATTCCTCTTCCATGGTGAAAATGTATAAAACACCATGTTCTAATAAAACTAAAGACTTGTCGACGGCCTATGTAACAAGGGTTGTGTGAGACGCAAGTAAGTTCGAAGATGAGGTTTAGCTTTTTCTTACTGGCGTGAATGCAGGGAACGTTCCTGTTCTCCACCGCTCTGTGCCACGATGTTTCCTTCAAAACTTCCAAAGTTAAAACATATTTCACCCTTACAGGCATGGATCAGCATTTAGCTTGGCACTTCCAAACATTCATAAAAATCTCTGCAAAAGCTGAAGATGGGTCATGTTGCATAAATCGGCAAAACAGACATCATCTTCTATTCCCAGCGTGTAGCAGAGGATCATAACATTTCACCGAAAGCAACCTCTTTATCAGAAAGTTGTTTTTCATTTCATCTTCCCAGAAGTCCTTTTTTTCTTTTTTCTAACACTTTTCCCACACAAACTCAGGCAAAATGAGTTGGACAGAGTCAATCCATTGAAGAAGCAATAATGTAAATAAATGGGATCATGCAAATGTGATATTTTCCTTGGTCAAAACAGGAAGGGAGGATACAAAAAAAGGGGGGAAATTTGCCGCAAATCGTGACTGTAATAGTGATGCTTGGATTCAAAAACCTTTTCTGGCAAAGTGTGTGGAGCAGTGTGTGTGTGTGTCTTTGTTTTGTTTTTTTCTTGCTGGTGACTGACCCAGTTTGCCAAAGAGCTCCACTCCCAGAGCAGCATAGATGAAGAAGAGCAGCATGAAGAGAAGACCAAGATTTCCCACCTGGAAGGAAAAAGAAAAAAACAAACCCCAAAATATGTTAGATATCTTCTGCAAAAAAACAACAGTACCATTTAAAACATTAAAGATCCAGGGACAAGAAGGCACTGTCTCCGGAGTATATAATCGAGAGGGAGTATATAACTGACTCCATTTGTTTGTCTGTCTGTTTGTTAGCAGTGTAGCATCCACAGTTTCCAAGATCTCATTTTCATATTTTGTGTGATGGTACAAGTTGGTTTCATTTAGGTGAAAATCACATCAAGATCACATCAAATGGGTAAAACAATAAAAACAAGCCTTGCTTGGCACGAGCACCTCAGTTTTCCAGGGATCTGACCTTGACCTTTATTGTTTGTGCCAAAGGTAAAAGTTGACCTTGAAAAAACATTTAAAGAAACCATATCAAGTAATGTATCATGTGAATGGGCATGGGGAGAGCTGTACATTAACACAATGCCCATGATGTCACAATGACACCAGAAAGTTTCCCAAAATTACACAGTGCATGAAAATATCTTAAAGTCACAACTTCTTTCAGCTTATAGAAGCCAAATCAGCCAGCTCTGTCCCAGTAAAGACAATAAAAAACACTATAAATGTGTTAAAGGTCAGACATCAGCATATTGTTATAAAAACATCCTGATGTCAGCATGTTGTAATAAAAAGAATTCATAAAACATCAGCGTTTTAGTACAGCCCTTTCTATTTGAGAGGAGATGTGCTCTCTGAGTGCTCTTGTCTTATTGCATATATTTGATACCACATATGCTTATTTATGCATTAGCATAAAATACTTCTTTTTCCCTTTTCTACCCATTGCACGGAGAAATCCCTTGCGCGCTTAAAAATCAAAAAATTCAAAAATAACTTGGACAGTGTGCACCTCCCTATGACTACATATGCATCGTGCCATCATTTACCAGCATGTCTCATCTCCTTTTCCATTTTCTAAAAATCTTTCCTCGTGCACTCTGTGCCTGGGATGGTTATATCCGAATACTTGACATTTAGAAAATAGCAGAACAACGTCTGTCACTGCACACACATCATAATCTTTGGCGCAGCTGCTCTTTGCCTCTAAGATTTGAGCCACGCAATAACAGGGAGATACATCCGCGACATCTGCTGACACGCCTAAAAAAAAATGGTGGGTGCATTGACAAAATAGCAAAAGCACAAAAAGGAGCACAAGGGAGGAACAGTCTGACTCAAAAAAAAAAAAAAAAAAAAAAAAGAAATCACAAGATTGGTGGCAAAAATGTGCACGGGTATCCATTTGACTAATGAACTCACTGACTCTGTGATAAAATTCCTCTTGTGTGCAGTGTGCGTGCCATTTATTATAAGGCACATTTACTAAGAAAACCAAATGTGATGTGCAATAAGTCGGCGAAAATCTGAAGAAACAAACACACTTGAGGGTTAGGATATGAATTTTGTAATGTGGAAGGATACGCCTGGAATTAAATATTTATTAAAAAGCATAAATCTTTCAGGGCTGTCTATTCTGAACAAAATTCATATCCTGACCCTGTTTTCATAAATAAGAAAAAAAAAAGCAAAACCACTCTTTTGTGGTTGAGACATTACAGAGTCCATGTTTACCTGCGGCAGTGCTTGCATGACAGTATCCAACAGAGCTCTCATCCCCGTGGCCATCTTTAGAAGCTTCAGCACTGCAGAGAGACATTGAAACAGCCGTTTTACTGTGATAATTGTGAAAAAGGGTTAGTAGGAAACTGTTTTATCTACATCTGAGATCCTCTTTTTGATGCCAGATCTATTAGAATATTTAGGATAACTTAACAGAGTGAAATTATGTAAGTGTGTACAACATAAGCAAGGATAGATTGGTAAGCGTATGTGTACCTCGTGCTATCCTGAGCACTCTCATGATCCTGATGATGGTTGGATTTATTGGTAATGTGCCTTTCATTTTCAGCTCCTCCAGGACGATGCCCATGATGGACAATGCCACTATAGCTAAATCCAGCTGATTCCACCTGAAAATATTTTTTAGTCGGGTAGAAAAAAAAAGGGCAAAAAAATTAATCAATAAAAAATAAGACACAAGATACAGTGCTTCTCTTTCATCGCTCATGCAGCATATTCAACTAGTACCAGAGGGTGATTGTAACAACAAAGTAATACAAGTTCCTTCTTAGTCTTTAAAGGTTATTGTGAGTTAGCTGAAAAGGAGAACAGATGGGAACAGAAGATGAAATGTTGCTGCTGCCTGGCTGCTGATGCTAAATAGTGAGGAGGCTGTTTAGATTAATGGGCAGCCCACCCACTAATCTCTTTTGTAGGGAAAACACTGAGGCAAACCATGATAGCGCTCCACCTGGGTACTCTGAAAAAGATAAGTACCCTGACCACCCAGTGCTCTCAATACAATTGTGGGAAAATAAGGAAGGCAGGAATTCACACATTAAGTAGGGAATTATTTTTGTAACCATTTTATGCGAGATAGTTACATTGACTTTAGTGGGAAACAATGCTATAGAGATTCTCATTGCTTTACCTGTCTCTGATGAACCTGTGTATGCCAAATGCCACAAGTTTGAGGAGGGCCTCAACGACGAAGATGCAGGTAAACACGTAGTTACAGTACTTCAGAACCTCTCCTAAATACTGAGTGCACAGATTGAATGTAAGGAGAAGCGTACAGATTAATTTGAGACATCTTTCACAACATTTTCCATTTGAGCAAGTTTGTAAGGGCACGCATTACCACTGGTTGTTTATAGTGCTCTATGCTCATGGTGAAGACATTGACGCAGATGATAAAAGTGATGAAGAGGTCCAGGTGGTGGCTGGTACACAGCGAGTGGATGGACAGACGCAGGGGAGAGTAGTCGTCATAGTAGCGCCCGAGCTTGGCCTCTGGATCACAAAAATTCAGGAACAAACAAATATATGAAAGACAGAGTAAGAAACACGCAGAGAGACTCACTTTGGTGAGTAACTGTTGTCTGAATATAAAGTGTTGTATGTGTAGCAGTGTGCACCGGAAGGCAAAGGGGCAAAGAGAAGGCAACCACCACTGCTGTTCCATTTCATACTTTATTCACCAAAACATGCTTGTGCCTTAATAAGATTCTGCTATTTTGGTACGCATGTCACACCAGACAGGCCCTTGAGCAGACCAGGCAACCCCTGATCCTCTAATTGTAAACTTACTCACAGCGGTGGTGCTCCCCTTGTCCCTGTTCCTTAAACAGCATGTGCATGCTACTGCTTGTGTGGCTTGTTTAAATAAGTGAGGACATGAGAGTAACACGAAGTCTAAGATATTTATGGCATGTATTCATTTTTTAAAGGGATCACATATTTAGTATTATTACTCAAAATACTTTTGTACGTAAATTTGCACACGTACAGTTCTACTTAAAAATTTACATCCACACGAACATCATGGGGATTTATGGATTTTCGTGAAACCTGAACTGTCCTTTTCCAGGGTGGAATAACTGTACCGCATACATCTTTAAAAAAAAACTAAAATTAGACACACATCACTGAATTTATTTTGGATTTTCTATAATCCACAAAAGTTTACATAAAAGCTCAAATATACACATTCACTCACTTAAATCTGTGAATGTGAGTGAATGTGAATACACATTCACTCACTTAAATCTATAAATAAAGGTGCTGAAGGCTGTACAAACACCAAGGCCTTTCAGCTTCTTGTTAGTGATCGTGATTGACTACAACTGTTAGTTCTCTGTGTTTGACAGAACTGATTGGATTGACCAATACTCGAAACAATTTGAAAGCCCACAGAACTCAGAGAAGATCTAAGAAATAGAATTCTAGATGTGCACAAGTTGTGGCTTTCTTTTTCCTAAATAACCATAGATTTCTGCAGAGAACTATCCCTTTAAACAACTGCATTTAAGTACAAGTTACTTGAATATGTCACCAATTTGCCAAGATCCGGAAGAAGATCCAAATTCTGACCCTCAGATGAGAGGAAATCGGTTAAGATGTTGAGGAATAACCCAGGGAACCACTAAGACTGAAGCCTGCAGTGAACTGGAAACTGCTGGAACACCAGCATCAGTGTCCACAGTGAAATTCATTTTACATCACAATGGACTGACAGGGTTTAGACCAAGTGAAAAGTTTTATGGTCAGGAGACATAAATTGAGCTATTTGGCCAAAATGACAGGAAGTGTGTTAGGAGGAGTAAAGATGAGGCTTTCAAACTTAAGAACACTGTACCAGCTGTCAAGCATGGCGGAGGTATCATCATGCTTTGAAGATGGAAGAAATTACAGACTATCTCTAAATTCTTCAAATTCACCTCAAATCAACAGCTAGATGGTTGAAACTTGGATATAATTGGGTGTTCCAAAAGGACAATGATCTCAAACATCCATCAAAGCTAGTATTGAAATGGATAACACAGGCTAACATTAGGCTATTGGGATGGTTTTCCCAAAGCCCCGCCCTTAACCCTATTGTACATGTGTTAAAAGTTGAGTCCGTGCCATGACTCCAATCAATAAAAATAAACTCTACCAACTCTGCCAAGACAAGTTGTTAAATAACCTGCCAGCATTATGCCAGAAGGTTGTTGACGGTGACCAAAAGCATCTGGTCGAAGCACAAATTGCTTAGAGACACCAAATATTAGTGGGGATGTATGAATATATTTGTGCACCTAATTCTTGTTTGTTTAAGTGGTCAAAGATGTGTGCTGTACAGTGATTCGACCCTGGAAAAAGAACAGTTCAAAGAAATCATTGAAAGCCCAAAATTACCATGAAATTCATGCCTACGATAAGTGGATGTAAACCTCTGACCTCAATTGTGCATACGTAATGATAAGCAAGTGCCGTGCATGTTGCACTCTTAAGAATCAAAAGTTAGAGTGACATTAGAGAAGGAGGAAACAGAAGCCAATTTTTAGCCAGATTAAGGAAGTCCAGTGGCACTGAAAATACCATTACCAATGCTAACTAGCTGTTTCAAATGTTTTATGGTTATGCATGTTAATGCCATGTTTACATATTTAATATTAGGTTAATAGTCAGAATGTTGACGCTAATTAAACTTTCTCATTTCTGTAAGTGTGAAACTTGCTGCTGTTTGAGATAGCACTACCCAGTCAAGGATCACAGATGCTTACATAGGTTAGGACTACATTGTGTATGAACAGAAGAAGCCAATCCAAATTGATATCTTGGTGGATGGCATTTTTTGCTTTTGTGTGCATTTATACATTTTTGTTACGGTGCCAACATACAACAAGTGTTTTACAAATGAGACCCTGGCTATTTATATGTGCTTGTTATCAAACTAGACTGCATACTCACATGTCCACTGTAATTATCGAACGTGTATGTGAATGTCTTTGACATACTCTCACGTATACCATGCCCTGCCCTATGCATCGACTGCATGCTTTCATGCCATTCTTTTTAAAACTAGGATTTAGAGGGGCTGTGCAGGATATGTTCAACAACACCATCCTTTAACAAATGAGATCGTTCAGCTTGTACTGCTTTAGCGATAATCTAAACGCTTTAAATTGAGCTCAATAATTTCAAATTAATCAGTTAATATTGCTGTCAAATTCCTTAAGATTTTAGTTTGAGAATTAGGGGTTGCTGTTGAACAAACACTGGAGCCACTTTTCTCTAAAATACTTGCAGGAAAAAAAATCTCAGTAGTCTAAAACTACATTCGTTTTTTGATTGATCAGTGAGTTTTGATTGATCATATGCCCAAATCCCTATGAACAGGTTCATTCCTCTGAGACATTCAAGTAGCTTATATTACATTTATCAAGAGCAGTTTTAGACCAGTGAGACATGGTGCCATTAGAACATGAAATAGCTGTGTTCTGCTCACACCATATACTGCCTTAAAATATAACTCTGCGATTACGTAAATGAATATAAGACAAAATACTTCTACAAATTTCTCTCATTCACAATCAAGTCCCTAAATGAAATACTCTTCTGTATTGTGACTGTACAGTACTGTGAATCATGATTGCAGTGGGTGGTGTGTTTCTGATGTTTCTACCAGCATGTCCTTGCATTAGCTATAAGGTGCAACAAACAACAATTTTTATCTACGTAACTTAACATATGCTAACAGCGCAGCTACCCAAGGTGTTTACAGGTATAGCAGCCAAAGTGTCTGCTATGTTTCTGAGTCTGCCAGTCAAAGCGTGTTTACAGGAAATATCCTTCTTCTTCTATCCATGACAAGAACCATTTCATGGTCAGTGTTGCACATGCATTCGCAAGGAGGGAGGGATTTACTGGCATTTCACCAATTCAAATTTTGCTAGCAAAATTTCGAAAGACATCTGGAGAAATGCAGCCGTTAATTACTTTCACATGCAGCAAGTGTTATAAAGGTGCTTTTTAAAAGTAATGAAACCAAAAACAAAAGTTAGCTTATTACAGGTTTTGTTGTATTTAAATTTGGTATCTGAGACGTATTTAAAATAGATTAAGTACTGTTAATACTTTTACACTAAACTGGTGGCAGTTCCATTAATTAAAGGGTGAGCATACAAAGTTTTAGGTTAAAACAACTGCTCAAGTTTTTCATGCAGTGTTAGAAAAAGGGTAAGAGTAGGGCTGCAGTCATGCATTTGCATGCATCAGACTGATGTAGTCCACGCCCCCTGTCAGTGATCGATCACTGTTTGCGTGAGCTAGCCAGTCTTTTAAATTCTCCCTCTTTTAATGTTTCAGTCTGTTATATATACATGTATCCCTGTTTGTTTCTTTTTCTCATTCCCGTTCTCTTTTTTTCAGGCTCTGAAAGCAGGCAGTGCTCAGAAAAATAGACTACCGACCAGCCCCTTCATTCTCCTTACTCCTGCGCTTTTTCTCTTTCATTTTGAGCCTCTTCTCTTCCCGTAAGCGCGCCTCCTCCTCTTCCTGGTCCTGTCGGCACTTGTGGAAATTCTCCACCACAACCCCAACAAACATATTAAGGACGAAGAAGCTGACGATGAGCAGGAAGGAGATAAAGTAGAGGAGCATCCAAGGATTGTTGTTCCTTTTAGGCTGAGGAAAGCAGAAGACAGCAGAGAATATTTGCTTTTTCAGTTTTTTATGCATATTTCTTACTGAAAACAAAAAAGAACAGGACTTTTAGCTCTTCTGATCATCTTGTGCAAGTAGAAGAGATACCAGCACCCAAACTGTCAGTATCTCATCACTTACAACATTCAGAAGCAGGTCAAATCCCTAGAAAATGTCCAGGGAAAGCTCCACCTTTTAAACTGTTTTCTCTTTGTCACTTAAAGCTGTGTGCACATTTGACGCGATATGCAGTGATGTCACAACCACAGACTAGAGAACGGCAACATGAAGTGGTTGGGATCTCAGATAAACTTCTAAACTTCGAAGTGAGCAACTGAAGGGACTACCAATGAGGATTTCCTGGGCGAACTGGATCACGGAACGTCCGCCTACGACTTACTGTCACCTTCAAAGTGATCCACGAATAAGTAATCACTTCGAGGGTGGATGTAGATTAACACTACAAAGATATTTTTTGTGTACCTGACACAAGGCAATTTTACAGCTTAGCAATTTCTCACACCATTACCTGTTGGTCCACTCCTACTGCATCCAGCCCATCATACATGATGGTGACCCAGCCATCCTTACACGACAGCACAAACAAAGACATCAGAGCCTGGATATTAAACACAAACAATACAGGAAGTCATTACACATGTGATCAGTTTGTTATGCTGACTTGTAACTCTATTTCTCCATCATTACTAGAAGCTTAAAAGCCTTAGGTGATTTTGTGCTGTTCTGCATATAATAATAACATAATATATTAATACCATGAAATATGTCATAGAAGTTGGGACATTTTTAAGTAATTATTTGCTGAAGATGCAGCAAGGTGATTTATCAAAAACAATTAAAAAATTATGGAACAACTGGATACCAAAAATTAAAAGGATTGGACTGAAAATAAGGCAGTGTCCAAAGAAAAACTCTGAAAGCTCCGCAGAAAGCCTGGAGAACTGTTTCTCAAAACCTCATTAAAAACTCATCCTTGCTCCTTGGAAACAAAATATTAAAAAATGAGGGATAGCTCAAGACTTTTGTACAGTACTGTAAAGTTAGTTAAAACAGCTCACAGTGAGATTGTGCAGTGCTGATTCCACACTCATGCCCCATCTTTTTTGCCAAATCTCACCCTCAATCTATTGTTTGTTACCTGAATCAGGTTGTCAAAGTTGTACTTTTTTCGTATCCAGCGGTAGTTAGCCTGCAGACAGTCTGATTTGTTGGTGATGTTTCTTGTGTCCAGACCTTCACAGTGGTAGAACTTCCCTTTGAACAGCTAGAGTGAAACAGAAAAACATAGAGAGAGTTATCTGCGGGGCTATTTTGGTAGCCATTTACATGTTATGTACCAGAGTTTGTAGCTTATAAAGCCAGAAATAAAGAAATAAAGGGAAGTTTTGTAGAACATATTATTATCATACGTTTCCCTCAGTCCTTGGGTAATACCAGGTCATCTTGTTTCTTTTCACACTTCACCTAACTGTCATTCTTTCAAAAATGCTCAAACAAAAAGCTAATTGTTGATTGGATACTGAGTGACATTTAAGCAACAAAAGGTGTAAGGCGTTGTGGAACAGTGATTACCTGGACCCCCAAGATTCCAAAGATAATGAAGAAGGCGCAGCATATCAAAACAATGTTCCCAATAGGTCTAAGAGAGGTGATGAGAGTCTCCACAACAAGCTTTAATCCTGGGGCTCGACTGATCACCCTGGAACACGCAAACCAAACATGTTTAACACAAGTACCAATAAATGCAGCACATTAAAAAACTAGAACCCAAACAAGGTAGAGCAACAAAAAAGTATCCAGCACATGTGCATCAATATATAAAAGCTACTTTCGAATTTCCCCTTATTCCTAAGGGATCCCTTCCATCACCACACTGACAAAAGTATTCATTCACCCATCCAAATCATCGAATTCAGGTGTTTCAATCACTTCTATGGCCACAGGTGTATTTAATCAAGCACACAAGCACGCAGACAATCACCTACAAACATTTGTTAAAGAATGGGTCGCTCTCAGGAGCTCAGTGAGTCCCGGCGTGATACCGTGATAGGATGCCACCTCTGTGGAACAAATCCCGTCGCGAAATTTCCTCACTACGAAATATTCCACAGTCAGGTGTTAGTGGGATTTACAGGGAACGACATCAACTCAGCTGCAGAGCGGTAGTAGTAGGCTCACAGAGCAGGGTTAGCAAATACTGAGTCGCATCGTGCACTGAGATTCCCAACTTTCCCAACTTCATGTGGTTTCAGATTAGCTCAACAGTGTGAAGAGAGCTTTATCCATGGATTTCCATGGCGAGCAGCTGTAACCAAGCCATACATCACCGAGTGCAATGTAAAGCATCGGATGCAGTGTTTGTAAAGCATAGGACCATAGGACTCTAGAGCACTAGAGATGGGTTCTCTAGAGTGACGAATGTATGGGTTTGGCGTTTGCTCAGGGAACGGTACTTGTCTGACTGCACTGTGCCAAGTGTGCGGTTGTATTTCAGGAGTTTGACTCTGCCTCTTAGTTCCAGTGAAAGGAACTCTTAATGTTTCAGCTTACCAAGACATTTTGGCCAATTCCATGCTCCCAGCTTTGTGGGAACAATTTGGGATTGGCCCCTTCCTGTTCCAATATAACTGCAAACCAGTGCACAAAAATACACTTCTGTAAGAATGGTCAAAAATTCCCACAAACATTCCTAAACCCTGTGGAAAGTCTTCCCAGAACAAAGAGTGGGCTGACATCATATTAAAGCCTATGGATTAATAATATGATGTCAGTGAAGTGTATATGTGTGAAGGCAGACGAGCAAATACTTTTGACGATATAAAGTAGCACTGCAAATGTGCACATGATTAAGCAGATATTTACTCTAGATTCCTTGTGTGTCTTCCTGGGATCAACATATGGATCTTTTGTACTTTAGGCAAATATGCAAACCACTACACTATAACCCTCCAAAAGGTGAGAAGACAGTATCCACATACAAAAGAAAATCCAACATGTACCTCAGTGGGCGAAGTGTTCGTAGCAGGCGAAGTACTCTCAGAATTCCCAGGATCTTGTTTTCACCATGATAGGCCAGATAAACCAAAATGTCAATCAGAGACACAAACACCAATACACCATCCAGAATGTTCCAACTGGACTGGAGGTAGCTCTGCTTCCCAAAGCAGAAACCAAGAGCTACAACCTGGGAATTATTAAAATACAAATTAAGCTGTACACAAGGCAGTAATCACAATAATCTAGATCCAGTAGAAAATAGAAAAAGGTTCATCTACAGAAGAAAGAAAAGGAAATGATTCTCACCTTAATGGCCATCTCTGCTAGGAAGATCACAGTGAAAATATAGTTGGACACACTCAGGAAATGTCGCTCCTAAAGAAGAGAGTGATATTATATTTCAGCCCACATACCATGTAGCACACGCCACATCACACTACAGAGTACAGAGTATCTAGCATCAGTCTAAAATGTGTCTTTTTAAAGGTTTTAAACTCTGGAGTTTTATTCTTTCAGCTCTTGTACACTTTAATAAAATGATTTTTATCATGGCCCTCGGTCTTCAACCCAACTATTGATATGCTAATGTTCGGTTTTATTATGTTTCTAGTTCATAGTTCTTGTTTGATTTTGTTCCCTTCTGTGTCCAGTCGGTATTAGTCTCTTGGTGGGTCCTCCCCTGCGTCCCCTGTGTGTGGTCACGTCTGGTTATAAAGCTCAAGTCTCTGTCCCTCGCTCCCTGTTTTTTGCCAGTCTCACCTCAGTGTTTGTGTTCCCTGTCTTCCTGTGTCTGGCCCGTCTTTTTCCTGTTTTATTCTCATGGTCATCTGTCCTGTATGTGTAATGTAATGTGGCTCCCCTGCCTCTTCAGTCAGACTATGTTCAGCTGTGTTCCCCAGGTGTTTCCTGCCCTGACACCCTCTTGAAATATTGTCTGTATCTCCTTCTGTCTGTTGCCATCCCTCGATGCTGTGTGCTGTCTGTTTATTTTAGTTTCTAGCTCCTTCCCAGTTTAGCTAATGTTTTTTTGTGAATCTGGCAATAAAGCTGTTTTTGAGTTCACGTTCTGCCTGAGAGCCCTGCATTCGGGTCTTGTCCTTCCTTGCCTCACACAGCGGTTAGTGACAATTTTTTTCCAAGCTTTCTGCAAATAATCATCAATCAAGCACCAAAAAGCACATAATGTGATATATTGTGAATAAATGTTTTGTAATTCTTTGCTTTTACTAATTTACTTTGGAAAATAGAAAATGAAGGCAAAGCTGACAAAGTTGAAAACAAATACATTATTGTAGCACCTTGATTCTTTTCTTTTTCAGCCTTTCTGTTGTAGATTTTTTTCCATTAAGCAATTTGGACAATGCTTTAGCTGCAGGATAGATGACTCTAGAATACTTTGGTATACAGAGTTCATCTTTGACTCAATGGCTTCAAGGTGGCCAGGTCTCGTGGCAGCAAAAGAAGCACAAGTCACCACCCCAACACCGTGCTTGACAGTCGCTATGGAGTGTTTTTGCTGATATGTTCTGTTTGGTTTTCACCAAACGTGGCACTGTGCATAATGGCCATACAGCTCCACTTTGGTCTTATCTGTCCAAGAGACACTGTTCCAGGATTCTTGTGGTTTGTTCAGATGGAGCTTTGCAAACCTAAACCATGCTGCCATGTTCTTTTTAGAGAAAATAGCCTTTCTCCAGGCAACCCTTCCAAACAAGACATGCTTCTTTGGCTTTTTTCTAACTCTACCTTCATTAACTTTAACATTTGAAATGTTAACTGAGGCTTGCAGAGTCTAAGACATTGTTAATGTAATGTGTTAACTGTTAATGGACAACCTCATATCTGAGGTTGTATTTGCCTAATTTTAAGAACTGTTAAGGACCACATTATTTGCAGATATCTAAAACCTTAGAATTTAAAAAGTGTGTACTTTCTTTTTTACTATGTGAATGTAGTGAAAGACCCCAGCACCCAGACTAAAGCACAAGCTGAGTGTATGTGAAGCCCAAGCAAGAAACCTTTGTTACTACAGGTAACAATGGAAGGGATAAAAAGCATCAAAGCATCACATATAACAGAGGAAATTTTGCCTGTTTCTCTTACTTAATTAAGGATCAGTTATAAGAGATAGAAACTAAATAAAACAGTCCAGGTGTGTATTGGCTGTGCGTGTGTGTCTTACCGTGCTGTCATTTTTTATATCAGGTCTTTCCAGAGCAATGGTGATGCAGTTGAGAAAGATGAAAACTAGAACTATGTGGTCAAACAGTCTGTGAGAGATCACTTTCTGGCACCACATACGGAACCTAAAAAAACCCCCAAAAACAGTAAATTAAAAAAAATAAAAAAACACAGACAAACATACACGCAACTCTGATAAAACAATAAAATATCCATCATTTATTAAAACTGATAATCAAATAAATAATAGTGAGAATTCAGTAAAAAATACAAGAGACAGAAATAGTTAAATTAAAAAAAGAAGAACCAGAGAGGAATAGGCCAGTGAGTAAGCAGAAAAATGGATGGCAGAGGGTGACAACAGAACGGACTGAATTCTTCGTATGGATCCGTGTGTGTGTGTGAAACTCATGCTGGTGGGACATAAATCTGCCAGTGCAATCACACTTTGGTAACACAAGCTAATGCTGAAAATGTAAATCATTGTGTCTTAGTATAAATAGTTTGGGGTTAGGTTCGGGTTAGGATTAGTGTAAGTGTAGTAACTGTGATCCTACAGGATTAGGGTAAATCTCCAAGATATGAATGCAAGGATGAAAAGACTACTGTGTGTGTGTGTGTGTGTGTGTGTGTGTGTGTGTGTGTGTGTGTGTGTGTGTGTGTG